TCCTCCCTTAAATTATATGCACTCATTTTGCTCCTCAAGAAAACTTCTGGGGAGTTGATCATCAGGGCTATCTTAGGACTTCCATTTCCTGTAGACATGCCAATTTCTGGCTCTGAAGTTATTTGAGCAGGAAGTTTGCTGCTGTATTTGCAGATGTTTCCAAGAGGCTACAGTGGTTTGCCAAAAGGGCTAAAACTTGTCCTAAGGGCTAAGACTGAGAGTTAACTTCTACCCAGGGTGGCATCACTGTCATATTCCTAATGGTATAAAAGATTAAGGTTAGATGCATATGTGTGTTCTCTTGCAAGTACCAACTAGCCTTAGTTAATCACTGCTGTAGATGCTATCTTCAATATGCAAAATTGAGGCACTTTGTGACTTTCTTTTAATCACTGTTATCATTCAGACCTTGTTTCTCTAACGGGCTCTCCATGAAGTGTGGGTGTTACAGTCCTCACTGATGGCTGCACCAGGAACTTGTAACTATAGGGATATTGCTACTCTCATTCCAGGCTTTAGGAGCAAATAAGACCAGTGATCCCCTCCTGGTGGAAACACACACCAGCTTCTGACACAGTTTGTGTTTGGTCTGGCTAAATCACAGTAAACTTGTATTACTGAAATCTAGTTTTGGAGACCAGCCAAGTCCAGGCTTATTGTCAAAAATATAAAATTATTTACTTGAGCCTGTACTATCCAGCTTTGCAAGGCTGAAGTGACTTAACAGTTCAGGATCTTCTGGATTAATCTTTGCTTGAAGTAGCTTTATTTGGCCTGCTACATCACCAACTGAAATGAAATTGTAAAAAGATGGATGGACTCTGTAAGCAGGGCCACTACTGAGGCTTGCATGGTGTTGCATTTTAGCCCCCTCTTCACTGGGTTTCCTTCCTCCTAACTAAATATATTGCTCTTGCCAATTTTTCCTGCTTGTTGCTGTCCTTGGGATTTTCCATCAGTGCTGTTTTGTTCAAGCTGTGGAACACTTTTTCCTGTAGCTTCAAAGAAGAGAGAGATCATTAACAGATAAAGAATCAGGTTACTTGTATATGTCACTGTGGTCCTTTAGGAAGATGGACTCTTCCTAAAGGAGGGAGCAAAACTCTGAGCCATTAAGAAGATTGCTATTTGAATTGGTTGTGGCCTAGAGAGAAAGCAGAAGAAATACATCCCAGGATGCGACAGGAGAGGTGCTGTCTTGAGCATGCCTTTGATAACCCTGAAGTTCTTTTTTCATGGGCATATGATGGGAATTCCATCAGACCTCTTTACAGCTTACAGAATTCCCTTACTGCAGGGTCTCACAGCCCTCCATTTGTGCATGCATCCTGAAGTAAAAGTGGATATTTCACACTACTCTCTTAGCAGAAATGTAAAATAAACTCTTAAGGTTACTTTTTCAAGGAGGCTCTTATGCTGTTGAACGTCATGTTACTTTACACAAGGGTTTGCTTGTGGTTTTCAAAACCGTTTGAAGAGGGTACTTTTTATTGCATGTAGCTGCTTATGAAGTAATGATCAATTTTGTTTTCCCACTTTCTTGCTTTAAAGATTTCAGTTCTGATGCTTTCTATTCCTGAAGTTGTATGGTATTTAAATAGGAAGATTATTTTTTAAATTGTTAAATGCTAATGTTTGGATCTAGCATAGAAATCAATGTTAACTAATATATAGAGAGAGTGAGGATCAACAGTGTTTGGAGCTCTTGAACTGCCAGGATTGGCTTCTCACAGCTCTTGGAAAGGTGTGCCAAGATTTAAAAACAGGAATGGTTTGTCTTCCATGCTTTATGTGTAGCATAATCATTTTCGTTTTCAAGGTGCTTCAAAAAAAAACCCTTGGCTATAATATGAGCAGCATAAAAATAACAATATGAGAAAAACCAACCAACCAAACAAAGATCCCAACCACACACAGTCCAAAAGCCTGGAATATGCTGCGACATCAAGGTTTCTGCACCAGAAAAAAACTAGAGGCACCCTGTTCTTGCAGATGTTATGCATTTAATTTTAAATCTTTCTGTAGTTGCTGCTCTGTAGTTTACCCCAAGCCTCGGCTGCATTGCCAAGTGTGGCAGTAAAGTCAATATTACATCATAATTTTTAGGTAGCCAATGGAAAGATGAAGCTGTCTGTCAAAGCTGGCTCTGATGCCAAGGGTGGAGCTCCACTATATGGGCAGAAAGCCACTATTAAGGAGCTTTTGGCCAAAAATGTCGTTGGGCTGTAGCCACAAAGCTGGGAAGCTCAGTTCCCGTGGGTGGCTCCTTGAAAGGAATAATCCTGTCTGTTGTCAACAAATGATGGGAACATTGGTCAGGATGAGCAGGATTTGGGAAGGCCAGATTTTTGTGGGTGCATGCAGTTAGATCTCGCAGTCTGGCAGGCAGTTCCCCCATGCCTGAATCCTGCAAGGATGTGTGTACAGTCACTGCCAGCACTCTCAGTGCTCCCAGGGACTGGGGTGGCACTGGTAGGAACAAGATGTTGAGCTCAGAGCGGTTCATGCCACAGTAGCCTTGTGTCTCCAGACAACTATGGACCGTGCACTGCATGCAGGAAAATTTTGGCAAACTTCTCCTTCTCATTTTGAATTTTCACAAGGAAGAGGAGAAAGCTTCCTGGAAAGCTGTGATTTTAGTGTTGGGAAAAGCAAGCTCAGATTAGAGTGGTGGCAGGGTGGAGGTGTACTACAGCCTTGGTAGCCAGAATTCTGTTTTGGAGACCCAGAGCTCTCAGCTGCCATTTGAGAGGACGAGAGGTTTAATAGATGGCACTTGGATGAAATCCTTGCCTTGCAATTTCATTATTAATATTATAATTATATCATTATTATATGCTTCTTCGAGTGCCTGTTCCTCTTGATGTAAGATGATGAAAGGCAGGTAGGCCCTCTGTTTTCTACAGCTTTGCACGCCCCGTTTTTGTAAGTAATGCTGAACTTGCTGTCTGAGACACGCTGGTGGGCTCCCTGCACCTGAAATTCCCGGACAGGAGGCTGCTGAAGAGCCGCTGCTTGGCACAGTTTGTCTCTGCTACGTTTGCATCCCTCTGGAAACGAGCTGCGAGGATCTGGTGTATCACAGCACAGGCAGCTAGGTGCCAGCACCAGCTCACGTTTGGTTTGCCTGACGCGTGTCCTCCCCGGCAGTGCCCAGAGCGAGAGCAGCTCAGCTCCACGGGGCTCTATTTGCATACTCTAACGAGTTGGGCTATAATTGGCCTTCATTGATTTTGTTTTCATTGAGCTAAAATAGAGTCAGAGCTTCTTAGGCAAGAAGAGCTGATTGATTTGTGGTAGGATTCAGGACTATTCAGTTGAAGGAATAATTAATTATGTTCTTATTTAGTAATTGTCAGGGTCTAAGTTTACTCTTACCTTTCAAGTAGACACTGCTAAATTTGCTCTCTAGACTCTGTCTCTCCTTTTAAAAGCTGGCATAAGGTCCCAACATGCAGAAGACAGTTCACAGGAAACGCTCAAGTCATCTCCTTCTCTATCCTTTCATTACCGCTTCTTTTTTTCCCTGCACTATGTCCCTTCTTATCCATATGCATGACATCCTTCTTTCCGGGTCTTAATTGATCAGCTCCATTCTCTGTCAATTTTCTGTTGAACAATTCGAAGAAAACACCTTTTTAACCAAAAGTTGGAAAACAAAGGAAAAAAATAATCGCTTACTTGAGAAAATTTGAATGGTAACCTACTGTTAAGATTTTTATGATCTTTTTTTGATTCTAATTGAAGCTCTTGCCCCAAAGAAATGTTTTCTAGTGTTGAACAAACACACCTTCGAAGCTCAAGAGCTGGGGGTGTTGATAGTGTGCTGTTTAACACTCAAACGTGAAACTCTGGGTGTGTGTGTGAGTGATGGTCTTCCTGAAAGTGGAAACTTGTCCTTCCTTGTGCTCTTCTTAGCAAGTATCCATTTAATTAAACATTAGCACTGTGTGAGCAGACAGTGCTCTGTGGCAGAGGCACATTTTATGAGCTGTTTCTGCAGAGTTGAAAGCAAGGTTATAATAGCCACATAGAGCAAAGTTAGCATTGGCACACATATAACAAAGATGATGTTTAGTACATTTTCTCTTCTTCTTATCTTGTGCTTGCAGCATAATGCGGTGGCAACATTTGCTAGTGGTTTTTAAGTGGTGGATCTTATTACAAATATAATGTTAAACACTAATGAATTGAGTCCAGGCGGTTTCTGTGCTGCTGCCAGGAATGCAGTGCTCAGTAAATACCTTGCACCAAGCAAGTAAATGACAAAGGAACTCCCTGGGCAAACAACAACCAAATGCAAGGGATCATTCTTTGTAACAAATTAGTTCTTAAATAGAAGGGTCTTCCACCAGCTTCACCGGATGAAAACTCCTGGCTCAATGAGGGCGCTGAAGTGGACACAATTGCCAATAATAAGTAGGACACAACCCCTGCGTGGCCTCAAGTCCTTTGCAGTATGTGAGTTTGCAAGGGTGGGAAAACCAAAAGAGAAAATTATTGAAGAAGTAATAGGGGGAGAGGTTGATGGCTTTAAGTAAAGGGACAACTCCAGCAGCACCATAACTGTTTTGTCTGAGAAACACATGGGCATTATTGTTCAGATAGAAAAGGTTTGGCCTCTCAGTTTGGAAATGTTCAGAGGGGTGCAGTGTACTCTGGGGATGTTGCCTCTTTGCGTAGAGAGTTGGAAGAACTTGGGAAACTGCCATGAAAGACCTGCAATATTCCTTTTCTAATGTGTTTTGCAGGAAAGAATTGAATTTGGAAGGAACTTAGCAAAAATGCTATGTTCCAAATCAGCTGTGTTAAGATTTTTTTCTTTCTTCCCCTTTAATTTCCAAAGAAAAGCAGGAGAAACACTGTTTCATGCAGAAAAATCATCTTCTCAGTCATCAGTTTCCTACAAACAAAAAAAAAAAAAGACAGAAAGTGCTGAGGTTTTGGGTTTGTTTTTTTTTTTTCCCATTTGGACAAAAGGTGGGGTTTGTTTTGTTTTGGGTTGTTTTGTTTGAATGGGAGATCTCTTATTTAGAAAAGTTGTAGCGGATTTCTTTGGGTAATATCAATCCTACTCCTTTACTTTTCCCAGATGTGAGCAAACTTCTTCAGTCCAACTGCCTGGAAGGTGCTCTCACAGAGAGGGAGAGAGCTGGAAGCAAGCTTCTTGAAAACTGATATTTGAATGGATTTTGAATGCCATTCTGCTTCTATAAAGCTTCCCAGACTGTGGCAAAATCACAGCCAGGTAATAACTGCCTAGGATCTGGGGCATTCGGTCGCTGTGTAGGCTCACCTGGATCCTGCTGGGCTGAGCAGCCATCTCTGGACACCAGGTAAGCCCCTTTTCCAAGCCCTCCTCTCTCTGCAGCTGTCTCAGCTGAAAGCCTCTTATTTCCTTGTTTGCTGTCTCACTTTTTGGTTAAATCATCTTTTGCCACTCCTGGATGACACAGACACAAACCCCCCCACCACTGGCCCAGCCCCAGTGCCTGCCTTGCCCTGGGAGGATGGGTCCCAGACCCTCCAGCTGTTCTGTGGCCTGTGCAGCAACTTCCATGTTGGAAACAGTGCTTTGACTGGAAAACAAGGTTATGTGGGAGGCTATGGGGCTTGAAGACTGGAAGAAAAGAGGTTCAAGGGATAAACTGAAGCAGAAAAAGCAGCTGTGTGATCTTGCAGTGGTAAATCAAAGTCTGTGCAAGCCAGCACGTTCCTTTGAATTGGACACTCCCATTACATCATCTAAGTTGTTCTCTTTTTGGCAGTCACTTTTCCCTAAATAATGCGTTTTATTACTCTGCATGGTCCTATTTTGAGAGCTTAAGGTCACAGGCTCCACCATTTCCATAGAGCTGTTTCTTCTCTTTCCTACTGACCTCTTTTAAGGAGCAGGGAGTCATTGAATTAGCTTTCTTCCCAGGAAGAATCTTCCTCTGTAAAGCTGAGATGCTTCCTCATAAAATACCTTTTTGCTAAAAAAGTGAATGGGTGCACCATAGCCCAAGACAATTAGCATCACTTTGTGCCTGAGTGCTTTCTAGTGAAGAATTAACTCACGTGTGCCTCCTGGGATTTCTGTGATTTGTGCAGCCACCTTGCTATTTGTCCTGTGTCAGAGTTCACTGATCATTTCAGAGCAAGGAAGGCAGGAGCTGGGCTATTTTGCACGTGCATTTTCTAGGCTTTCATTTGCCAGGGGCCTGAAGGCTCCTGCCTCATTCAGTTTACTGAGAGCAGCTTTCTCCACTGCATATATATCTCTTGGATTGGATTCTTATGTGTTTTTGCCTTGGGACAGAGGTAATGCTTAGTGCATACCAGGGCGTTTGTAAAGGTTGCCGGGTGCTGTCGAGGCTGTGAAGTGAATCTGAATTCCTGAATTTCAGTATCACCTTTTCCTTTGCTTTCATTGAAAGCACTGATTAAACACGTGTTTACAGGCCTTTTAAACTTCATGTAGTTAAGGTGCACCCGAGTTTCAAAGACTTGTCATTTCTACTAGACTGATTGCCTTGGAAATTGAAAAATTTTCTGTACTGATATGCTCTGGGTAATGAATGATCAGCTTAGAAGAAGATGAGTACTTTGGGGGTTGTAAGGATTATTGGACTGCCTTCCCTGGAGCTCCAGCTATTGCATTGTGAAGATAATGAATGATTAATTGGTCTCATACTTTGTACTTCACTTAATTGGTAGCAGCGCTTTGGATGCACTGGCTGCTGTAGCAACTTAGAAGATATACCTCTTCTGAATCAAAAATTTAAAAAAAAGTGAAGGGGTATAAGACAGGGAGCAGAAATTGTCACCTCACTTGCCCACATAATTGTTGTGGGCAAAATAAAAATAAAGGGAAGAGCTGGGAAAGGGGACTACAGCAGAAATCCTCCAGCTGGGAAGATGTGGAAGTTCTCCCTGTTCTGAGGGAAGAGCTTGCTGTGCATCCTTCTCCTCTACTGGCTGAGATCTATTTTTTTTTCCTTTCAGAAAAATGCAGAACAATGTTAAATGCCTGAAGTTTCCCTCTCACATGATATCTCTGTACCAGCCTCTGTCTAGAAGGAGGCTGACCCTGGATCTCTCCTGGGTACCTGCTGCTTTACCAATGAATTTACTGTAGCGAGCTGTAACTACAAGGGCTTGTTCCTGCTGTTGTGTTATTTCCTTTTCCGAGCATTCCTGCTCAGGTGTTCTGTGTCCTTGGTGGATTATTAAACCCTGTACTCCTGTTTTTCAAGGGGTGAGCTACAGAAGTAAGTGGCTATTAAAAGCAGCAGTTGGCCACAACAAGTCTGTGTTAGACATGAAGTTAGTTCCTGTTATTGTTGCCGCTTTCTTTGTAACCAGTAAATCCTTATTTTCCGCCCCTGTTTGTATGGGTATGTAAAAGAACTTGCCAGGTCTAAAGGGAGCACTGGCAGCTGTGCAGCTCTAATCTCGTGTGCAACAAGGGAGAGTCACAATCACATTTTGTCTAACAGTCTGCCAGAAACCATCACACATTCATTTCACAAAGTGGAAGGAAAAAGCTCTGAAATTCCTTACGTAAACCAGGGAACAAGCTGTAGAGCTGCATTGTCTTCCTTCCTTCCTGATGGAACAAGAAAGGATCCTATAGTGACTTGCATCAGAATGAGATGCTGGAATAGATGTTTTATGGGTTGTCCACCCCCTCTCTGTCCAGGTGAAACTTCATCTTGGTGGAGACAGTAATAGTAATGATTAGAATTGTTTCTCTCATGGAAATTTCTCACTAGTTTGGAAAAAAACTGGAAGTAAAATTGCACTTGAAAATGAAAACATGGACATGATGTTGTGGATAAATGGTTTGATGGGTGGAGCATGAAATTGCCAATATTTCTGCAGCAGTATTTGTGGCCAGGACACTGACTTGGGCAATAATCCCTGAAGTGAAGAAGTACATCTTTCAGCCAGATTTTGAAAAGGACAGACATCTGTCATTAGTGGCCCAGAGATGCGAAAGTCTGTCAGTGGGAAAATAAGTCAGTTTTCTAATGTGCTGTTTCTGCTACTGCAACTAAGAAATAATTGCCAATATAAGAGTGGAAAGAGATACAAATGAGTATGTTATGGTGTGAGCAAATGGAGGTTATGTTAATCTTGGTATGAAGAACCCATGTATGTTAATAATGATCAAATTAAATTGCTCATTAATAATCACCATAAGTAATATTGATCTCTACAGCACTTCCTACCCAGATGCTTAAAAATGTTTTATGAATCTTTGAAACTCATAGCAAGATAAGGTGAGAAATTTTGTGTAGCATAGGCTGTGATGATGGAGGGGTGGAAATTAAATCTGGGGTCATAATGATTCGAAAAATTTCAGTGAACAAAGCTGAGTTGTCCTGAGAAGAACTAAAATTCCTTGACTTGATGTGATGCAGGAAGCTACACGTTCAGTGACACTGCTCTAAAGTGACTCTGCTCTGGGTTACCTGCAGTTGGAGAACTGCAACAAAACTTAGTAGCTCTGTACATGGCTTGTGCTGCTAAGGAGCAACTTCCTCTTTATACTGACTTTGATGTGCGAGATGCACTCAGAAGATAGCAAATATTGTATATTTTGTAGCAATAATGTGTGAAAAATCTTTTGGGTTGGTTTTCTAATTTGTTTCTACTTCAATTAACTTTTTAAACTGCATGTCTTGTCTCATAAAATGATGAACGCTTTCCAATTTATTGAAACAGTGGTTCTATAAAAGAACAATATGCTTGAGCAATTCTTTGTACTGATACATCATCATCAACCTGAGTAATGAGTGAGAGAGAGATAAGAATAGGTTTGGCTCCATTGAAAACATTTGTAGATTTTATCTGCAACAGATTTTATTAAAATTGCAACAAACTTTATTCAGCCCAATATACGCTTCATTAAGGGAACATTACCTTACAATTATGATTAATTAGATTAAACTTATGAAAGTGTGTTATTTGTTCAAATCAAAAGGGTGGCAGGGAAGAATGATGGATGATGAAAGAGTGTGATAAATGAAGAAAGCAGCTGAACTAAATTGAATGTGTATTCATCCGTTTTCACTTCATAACTAATGATAAATTGAGCATGTCACATTTAACAATACATGTCTGGGCTTAAGCACAGTCCCAGCCTCTGTAGTCTAATGTCTTTTGTCAGGTAGCTGCATTCAGGGGACGTGATATTTGGTTTGGAGGAATCTATGCAGTTCATTATCTATCTGTCTCTGCAGCTAAAATCACAAATGAAGCCTCCTGCCCACCCTTGAAATGAAATCACGGAAGTCTCAATTAGGATAGAGTTGTCTAGGAGGCAGAATCTGACTGTGAAGTGTTAATTTGACTCGAAAAGCAAGTGATGTATTGAAAATTGTGTGTTGTTGACAAGAACACATTTTGGGATAATTGCAAACTCGAACAAGCCTGTGAGGTCAGAGTCTAACTCACAGGCTCAGGCACTTGTTGTGCAGCCACGTGAGAAAGATGCTGTTCAGCACCAGCTGAAATGTCTGAATTTGGCCTGAAAGACCTGGGGAGTTTGTATGGGCAATGACTGGCTGCCTTGGGAGCAGGCAGGCTCTCTCAACTTGTACCTCAGTTTGTGATGGTCAGCCTTTCCAACAGCAATCAGCAGTTCTGGTTGTATCCTTGGTTTTAAGAGATGTGGAGCAGGATGTCAGGAACAGGTGCTTACTGAGGAGAGGTCTTCATTTTGTCATCATCAAAACAAAAAAGGAAAACATTTTGTTCTGGGATCTTTGGTCATCATACCAAAAATGTACTTTTGGCTGGCTTTGTTGTTCCATTCCTGGTCCAAAATTATTCACACGTGTTAGGCTGAGTAATGATGGATTGAGCTGCTGAACCACACCAGGGATGAATTTTGAGGATGAGATGTTCAGCATTTCCAGGAATAGTTCAGCTGTGATGCTGCAGATCCTTGTGTGCCACAGACCAGAGAGAGAAAAGGTTGTTGTATAGTTTTAAGGAGTAACAGGAAGCATTGCAGAAGACCTGAATGCATGAAATAATAGCTATGGTCCTCCAAAACTGAAATGGAGGAAAGTCCTGCATCTCCAAAGAACCCTGGGCATAAAGGGATGTCCTGTAAGCAGATGAAGAATAAAATTAGGTAGCTAAGCATGGGCTTAAGTGTCATGCACGGGGATAGGGAGTAGGGAAGGGACAGTCTCTTGCATTTCTCAGGTTGCTTTAGTTGCTTTAGAGCAGTATCAGACATCCCTCTTGTTCTCTGTGCTGTTCCTCAAATTGTCCTTGTCCCTCTCTTGCAATCAAGTCTCTTGACATGACATTCACTCCCTGTCCCTTGCTAGGGAGC